GGTATCTTCACAAAAGAATTAAAAGAATTGGGCCAGAGATTTAGCTCAGTGGTTCCACCGCCTGCCTTGAAAGCACAAGGTCCCAAGTTCGATCCCCGGTACGAAAAAAAAAGAATTAAAAGAATCATACGACAGTGATATATGTGCACCCATCTTTATACCGGCACAGTTCGTAATAGCTAAAGCTCGCAAGCAGCCCAAGTGCCCATCAACTGGAAACTGGATGAAGAAGATGTGGTTTTTTTTAAATAAAATGGAGTACTACTCAGCCATAAAGAACGAGAAACTAGAGACATTTATAGCTAAATGGATGCACATTGGGGCCATACTCTCAATTGAAATAAATAGGACACACATGTGTAAATACTGAATAGTTTCTCTAGTGTGAGAAACCGAAAGTGTAAACAAGGATACACACGGATGAAATGGCCTAATAACATATTTCTTGAATTGTGTTTCCACCCTGTGTCATATGAGTGTATCGAAATTTAAATTAGGGAGAAGCTTGGCTTATGTGGAGTCTGCTAGCTAACTGGAGTTTTTTTTCCAGACCACTATTTGTTCCGTGTTGGTTTTGGGGATCTTTCTGAAACAAATCACATCCTCTGGTGTCTTGCTGGTGCTTGAGATGCTTTCTTAAGTTATACAGAAAAATGTTTAGGTGCTTCTCAGTTTTGTTTTGGTTGAGTTCTACTGTATTTGAATATTATTGTAGTTTATTTCCCTTGCATTGTTCTTCTTTGAACGGTTTTAATTTTTGTGTATGTGTTTGATAATAAAGTTATTTAAAATTTAAAAAAAGAAATTTCATATCTAAAAGGTACCAATAAATGTTTTGCTTCAAAAAAAGAAAAAGAAAGGAAATCTCATCTTGCACCTCTCTACGGGTGTTAAATCAGGAGGAAAGATTGTTTTGAACTGGGCCCAGCTAGGTTTAGTCACTTGATGGCAAACGTCCTTTGCTTCCCTGACAGTGGCCCCAGGATTCTCCGACTCTATACCTCTGCCTCCATGGGCAACGGCAGCGCTGGCCCGCCTTCTCTCCAGTCCGAGATCTGTTCAGCACAGCCATGACTGGAGGCCTGGCTTCTGTCAGATTTGCTAAAAGCCCAGACTGGGAGCCCGGCATGGTGGTCATGCCTGTGGTCTCAGCACTTGGGAGCCTGAGGCAGGAAGAGCAAAAGTTTGAGGGGCAACTTATTGACTTGAGAGTGTTCCTCAAAATAAAAACACTTTTCTTTTCTTTGAGACAGGGTCTTGCTATGTAGTCCAGGCTGGCCTTGAATTCACTCTGTGATCCTGGCTGGCCTCGAACTCTCAACCATCTTCTGGCCTCAGCCTCCCATAAGCCTGGGAGGGTGCAGGAGGGTTACTGCCCATGTGCAGATGACAGTATTTGTGGGCAGGGTGTGGGTTATGGGGGATGGAGGGCCTGGGTCCAATCCCCAGCACCACAAAGAACCTGGTTGAGTTTATATCCGGCTGCCAAGGAGACAGCGTCAAGCCTCGGCCAACCCGGTTTCCTCCCCTGACACAGTCACTTTCCCACCAGATCCACCAGATGGGGACACAGGTCCCACAAAGGGGAGCCTGGATCTACGCTGTGGGCTCTGCTACTCCCTTTCCCTCGCTGAGACCCAGGGCCCTGCTTGTCACCCGAGGCCCCGTGGAAATGAAGACAAAGGACAGTCAGTGAACCAAATCGGACACGCAACGCAGCTTGTCTCCTCGGTTTCTCTTCTGTGAGAAACCCAAGTATAAATAAATTAAAGACCAAAGTAAAAGATAGGAAGGGCTGGGGATTTAGCTCAGTGGCTCTGTGCCTGCCTCGCAAGTGCAAGGTCCTGAGTTTAATAGGAAATACAAGAGGTAGATTTTTTTTTTTTCTTTTTGGTACCAGGGATCAACTCGGGACTTTCCGCTTTTGAGGCAGGCAGCAGAACCACTGAGCTAAATCCTGGGCCCTGTAGATTTTTTTGCAAATGGGAAGGGGACCAGAGATGGGACAGGAGGGGACATAAAAAGAATGAAGCTGTTCCTGTCTATGTACCAACTCGCTATGAGGAATGTGATCATGTACTGCAAACATGGACTCAAAAAAATTTAAAAACATTCTTTTTGGAACCAGGAATCAAACTCAGGGCCTTGTGTTTGCCAGCCCCCCAAAAAAAATTTTTTTTGAGACAGGGTCTCCTTATATCTTTCAGGCTGACCTTGAACTCCTGGCGATCCTCCAGCCTCAGCCTCCCAAGTCCTCGGATCACAGGTGCGCGCCACCATGTGGGACTAAAAATAAAAATTAAGGGAAAAAAAAGACAAAAGAAAAGGGTAGAAGAGGAGTTGCGAGAGGCAGCGTCAGTCACAAAAATGACTTTGCTCCTGTCCTGTTCTGGAAGAGGGGAAGCAGGTCTTGAGGAGATCTGAGATACTGGACAGGGACGTTGTCTGGAAATGGATCCAGAGAGCAGGCCCAGCTGTCTGTCCCGCTGGATTTCTCACTGATTTGAGCACAGCAGGGACAATGCAGAGTCCTGAGGGCCAGGCCACCTCGGGTTCAAGTCCTGCCGTGCTGCTGACCAGCTCCAAGGCCAGGCCAGCTGTGAGCCTGTCCCAGAGCCCATGCAGTCGAGGGCAACGACATCCACCCACTGGGTCGCTGCTGTCCCCTTAGTGCCCACTCTGTCCCCGGGGAGTCCTCTGTCCTGGTGCTGCAACTCGCCTGCCCGAAGTTTGGGCCCAGCCCCAGTGGCCCAAGCAGCCGGGCCTTAGTGAGCTGTCCCTGCAAGGCCAGCAGCTCAACCTTGGGCCCTGGACAAGTTAATGATCTGCACATTAAAGAAAAAGAGACTCTTAATAGTTAACCTTGAAGGGCAACTCCATTCCTTGCAGCTGATTAGTTAACTGATTTATCCTCAGATCTCTTATGAGAAGTAGGGATTGGGGGGAGGGACAGGGTCTCTCTATGCAGTTCAGGCTGACCTTGAACTCACTGTGTAGGCAGGCTGGCCTCACACTCACAGCGATCCTCCTGCCTCAGCCTCCCGAGTAGCTAGAACTCCAGGCATGAACCATCTCACCCGGCTGGTTTCACCAGTTAATCCCAGACAACAGGGTTTCTTCATGAAGGAAAAGGAAGTTAATATTAACCTCCTACAGTTTTTAGTAGCTTATTTCTGCCTTCATTCCTGACTGAGCATTCTTACCTGGAGCCCTGGGGGACAGGTAAGTTATGAAACCCAAAAGAAAAAGGCTCCTGTAAATAAACCAGCCTTGCCAATGTTTAAATTCTTTTCTTCTGTAAGCACCAGAAATTAGATCTGAAAGTTCTCTTATTTTTGTTTTTTAGCAGTTTATGCTTTTCCTGAAGGTAAAATGTTAAAAGTACCCTTCCCCTTATTGTTTCTCTTCCCCAGATACAAATAAAAAGGGGAAATCTTCCAGATTTCCAGTTTTGCAAGGATCGACACTAGAAATCGACTGAAAGTTATTTTTAATTCACTCACAAGCACTTACCCCAGATATGTTTTGATTCTGTAAACTGAAAGTGAACTTGCACCAAAATAAAATCAGCAGAGAAACGCATTCTGTGTACTCAATCTGATTCGGCTCCACGGACATCTACAGAGCGCAAAACAGGTGAGAAATGGGGGAAGCTGGGTGCAGTGGTGCAGGCATGTGATCCTAGCACTTGGGAGGCTGAGGCAGGAGGATTACAAATTTGAGTCCTGCCTGCATGACACTGTCTCAAAGTAAAAAGGAATTGAAAGGGCTGGGATGGAGCTCAGTGCAAAGGTCCTGGGGTCAGTCCGCAGTACTGGGACAAACACACCCAAACGTGTCGGGGGCGGGGTGTCTCCTAGCTAAGGAACACCACTGCTACTGCCTAGGGCCCCAGAGCGTGCAGCCTGCCCTCTTATAGCTCCCTCCTTCAACCCCGGTTCCCAACACCTCCATGCCCCCTGCACCGGCTGGGTTCCTTCCTGGGCTCCTTTCTGGGCGGTTCCGGGAAGCCGGCCCCCCCTGGTGGCCAGCAGTGGTACCACCGTCCAGGAGGCCGAGGAAGGCAGTCGGGGGCCCAGAACTTCCGTGTGGCAGGGGCAGGGGGCATCGCGCCCTGTATTGAGGGTGCTAAATTTAGTGTCTCTTAGGTTCTGCCTCGCGCAAGGTGCTGTGCTGCAGGCTGGAGGAAACGCTGGGGTTAAGATTTTAGGCCCGGCGTGGCGGCACCCGGGCCTCATAGTTGTCTGCAGAACGCCCACTGTGACACCGCTGGGCACCTGTACCCCTGCCAGCTGGAGACAGGCTGTGAAGGTCCCAGTGCCAAGGCGAGCAGCCCGGGACACGTGGCAGGATTGGCAGCAGCAGGCTGGGGTCTCATTTTGTAATCACTCTGCTCACGGTGGGGTAGAGGGAGTAGGGGA